CGCATCGCGTCGGCTGTCTGCCATGCCTGTCATCCGGGCATAGCTGTGGAGATCACGGCTGAAACCGAGTAGGACAAAATCAATCAATCAATCAAGCAAGGCTGTATCAGCGCAGCGCTGTTACAAAAGGGCGTTTATTCCGTTCCAAATTAGAGGACCTTTCAACTACTAGTTATCGTAAAACCAGCATACGCAACTCCCGTTCCGATTCCTGTTTAAAATCAGTCACATAAATAGATGTTAGATTATGATATAACGTACTTCCAAGCTTGATATGCGCGATAGCCTCGCTGGCACTAAAGGAGAGAAGTAAAGTGTGAGTCTCCGCTCAAAATTTCTTGGGTATCAGCAGTTTACTTACAATAGGATTTCCTGAAAGTGCTGTTTGACAAGCGAACTGGTCGGACGTTAAACAATCGGACGCCTATAGAAGCGAGGAATTAACATATTATTTCAGAGTAGGCGACAGATAGTCAAGCACACAAGTAATTTAACTTACCCCTGGATAGCCTGGTCCAAAGTTAGGCTTCTTGCCACACTCATAGGAATAGGGCGTAGCATTGCAAGTAGAAGCTACAAGAAGAATAGTCATAACTATTCTTGAAATATTAGGTGTAAGCATCTTGCTGATATAAGAGTATAGCTCTTGGTGTAGATAGAAAAAGTATAAGTATTGCAGTTAGATCCATTGAGAGCGTTTATATAATAACGCCGGCATTGTTTATGCTTAGAGTACCGAAGGGCAGTCCAGACTCCCTGGGAGATGTAATATCCACCGTGTAAGCGCTATTTATATAGTTGCCGCGTAACGTAAGGGCGCGAACAAGACTGCTCGGATCAGTATTAGTCGCAGCGTCACCCAAAGGCAGATAGGATTGCGTGGGATTAGGCTGGTAAATGGGTAGGGGGAGGGTTCCATGTTGGGTAGCCCCACTTTTATTCTTCTATTTATAATATCGCAATAGTTATTAAAGAGAATTGTCAGACTGTGAGGGGTTTTTTGATCAAGGACACGTTTGGATCACTGTGATAAAAGACTGTAATAATTGATAGAAGAAATTGATGGTATTGATTTCTGTCCCTGTTCTAGCGGCGCGCAGGAGCGCCGCCTTATGAGCGCTGTCGCCGCGACACCAGTAGTATCAGTTGTGGCTCATGTATCGGTCCTACCTAGGGTGGACTTGGCACTCGGCTCTGATCGGCCCGGATCACAGAATCCAGTTGCTCGATCACACCCGAATACTGTCACTTATCTGACAATCGTACGTGAAGTTCGCAATGCCAAGAAAAAGTGTCCGGCTCGGTGGTGTGTCCGGCTTGGT